TCGGGCTTGCACAACAGCCTGCAAGGGTGGCATTTTTTAAGGGCTCGTGTCCAAAAGGATGTAGGAATGTCAGCCAGTTTCTGAATGATTCAGATGGGGGGTTTTTTTTGGATCCTTCTTGGGGTGGGGGGGGAGGGGAAAATGGGACGACCTGCTTTTGATCTCCAGGAAGGCATTTATGGGTTAAAAGGTGTAGTTTGTTTAGTTTATGTTCTCAGAACCAGGGGTCTCCCTTCTCCTTGTGAGAGGTTAATTATTTTATGTTGCTGGGATGCCTGAACATAGGAGTGTGAGCTCTCATCTTGCTCCACACTATGCACAGGACAAAAAGATGGCCCTTGCCTGAGGTACCTCCAGTCTGGATCTAGGAAAGAGGCAAAGGGAAGATCTAAGAAAGTGTGCATGTGGCAGTGGGAGTATGGGGAAAGCCAGCGCTGACCAGCAATTAATTACATCACAGCTTGCTAGTTGGCCTAAATTAAAAACAAACTCTCTTGCTCCTAGGCCTTGGGCCAGAAGAGGGTTAGGGGTGGATGTGGAACATAACTGGAAAGCTGTAGACTTTGAGCTTTCACTGAGAGTCGGTTTCCTTATCCGTAGCAAGCTCTATAGTTGAAGCACTCAAACCTCCTCAAGAAGGTGCTTAGGAACACTGTGGGCATCCTTAGGTAACCCATCCAGGGGCTCAGCAACCTTCATGGTTAAAAGCATTTTCTGCTAATAACCACTCAAAACTGAACTTTACTGTGGTTAAAAGCCACTTCTGCTGGCTGTGAATGTAGAAGGGAATAAACGTTTGCCTCTTTCTTCACATAATTGTCTACTGTTGTAATTTTTTCCTTCCCTCTGTTAAGCCTTCCCACACTTTAAATTTTATCATTTTTCTTTAGGCTTCTGATCATTTCTGCAGCTCTCTTTAGGAGAGCCCAGATGTTTCATTTTCAAGTGTGGTACTAAAAACAGCTTTTATTGCTACTGCAGCTGAGCCGTTTGTTCCTAGTCTTGTGTTTTTTCTGCAGCTGATGGTTCCTGTCGAAGAACTAGAGTGCACAGCTTCTTAAGTTACACTGTACCTTTCCTTATTGCTTCTGAAGACTACTTTAAAGTCTAATCCTTTCCTTTTGTGCTGCTGGAATAAGGAGGTAGCTGCATAGGTGTCTATAGGAGCAGTATTGTATGGAGCAGGTCCTTGCATTGAACAAGTGGGTGATGCGGGCTGGTGCCCTGGGGTGAGATGACGTAGGAGGCCAAAATGACCCTTTAGTGTGGCCTGATAGTTACAGGATGAAGCTGGGTATGCTGGCCTTAAATAATATTCTTTATGGGTTGTGTCGTCTTATAATGGCTGAGTTTGTCTAGGGTAGTGTGTCTTACTCCCTTGCTCTTTCTGAATGCAATTCATATGCGATGTCTGGAGCAGAAAACATGTCCTTGCCCTTCACATTCCTCTCTGACCAGGAGGAAGACAGGCGGGGAGCCGGGGGAGCGCCTCTGTGAGCGTGGGCACAAGGCTTCCCTGCAAAAGTCCTCTCCTTCCATAGGAGAAGGTGGGGACCCACAGCTGAACAGACCCTTGCATGAGGAGGAGGATCTAGAGGAAGGTGCTCAGCTCCGAAAAGAGACCTAGGCTTTTTCTGTGTGTGTCTAGCTGGGAGGGAATGGTGAATGCCAGTGAAGCTGCCTCTCCTCTTTGGGGAAAAAAATGTTCACTGATGCCTCAGACTGCACTAACGAGAGAGAGTTTTTAATTTATTACCTATTGTTTTGTCATTAAGACCCCTGTCTTCATTTTTTTGCAGGTTTCACATAAACTGTTTACCAGTCATGCCTCTTCATGTCCTGTACCTAAGCTGATAAAGCATCTATGCACTTTAATCTCAAGTCTATGCCGATCTTCTAGTACGGTGTGAGCTGTGCCTTGAACCTTGGATATAAAGACCTACCAGCCAAAGTCTTGTTCCTGCCTTAGTAATGTTCCAGAGGTTAAATAACATGCTCATGGGAGAGATTAATAGCTTGTCCAGCCAAGAGCCAGAGTTCAGTGAGAAAGAAGATGACGAGTGGATTCTGGTTGACTTCATAGGTAAGACATCTGTCAAACGTAAGCTCTGCTTAGAAACCAGGAGCTTGCGAGAAACTTTACCTAAGCAAAACAGGCGTGGATTAGAGCGTAGGGTGTCTTCCAAACAAATGTACCAAAACAGGTTATGTAAACTGATGAGAAGAATGATGTCAGGTTTCTAAGCCTGACACAGGCTTCAGCAGAACCGCTTGTACAGATAAAATGTGTTTGACTTATTATGCAATTGTATTGCTTTACTGATAACAGTTGTTTTGTGTCTAGCATGGCTTGTCAGGGAACTCCCTTTTCCCCTCCCCTTGCTTTTAAAAACCAAAAATTTGTATACGTGCTGATAGGGGTTTATTTCTGTTTCTTTTTTTTTTTAATACCCTGTTTCTGGCTACGTGCAACCTTCTTGGTTTTGACCTCCTGCAATCACCAATGTCCATGGGTTCCTCTCCGCTGACTAATGGCCACCTACAGCAGACACTTGCACTAATTGCTCCGTGGAAGAAGCGGACATCGCTGAAGCATCGCCCGCGGATGGCTCACCTGTCTTCTCTTGTTTACCGTCTCCCCTGGAACACTTGCCGGAGGCCAGCGAGTCTTGCTTCATCCAGTTTGAGTCATGCCCCATGGAGGAGAGCTGGTTTATCACCCCTCCCCCATGTTTTACTGCAGGTGGATTAACCACTCTCAAAGTGGAAACCAGTCCGATGGAGAACCTCCTAATAGAGCATCCCAGCATGTCTGTGTATGCTGTCCACAATACCTGTCACAGCCTTAATGAGACTGGATGCGGAGACGAGGAGTTTCACAGCCCAGGTAGCCCCAGGTACGCCTGACTTCTCTTGTCAAGGAACTCTGTTGCTGGAAATATCTGGTTTCTACTTGATCAGCTTAGACACTTAATACTGAATTTTCCATCTTATTTCAGAGCAAGTGAATAACGCATGAATACTACACGAGGTGGGTAGGGTGGTCAGGGCTGCCTGCCTGCTTAGAAAAATGTTATACAAGATGACCGTGTCAGGAAACAGTTGGGCATGCTATTTTGACACCGCAATGAATATTTATGGAGCCTAATTGTTCCCTTGCAGAATATGCTCCACTCCTGTTGAAGCTGGTGGCAGTTACCTGTATAGCTGATAAAGTAAATTAGAAAGCACTTTGCCCCCTTCATAGCTATGTGTATCTTTCATAACTGTCAGTACCCTTTTAGTCACCTCGTGAGATGAAAAAATACTTTAACTATCCTGACAGGGAAGTTTGTTTTAGTATTTTTTTGTTCTTCAACCTAGTGATAGATTAGGACAGGTTTAAATTTTTCCACAGATGGCTTGTGGAACAAAAACAAACTGAAATATTCCACAAAGCTTACTTCCCTCAAGGTAAAAAATTGCACTGCAAAATTCTACTTTCAGCAAAGTAAGAAGTGGTGCTGTTTTGTTGTTTTGTGGTTTTTTTGGTTTGTTTTTTTTTTTTAACATGGGGGGTCCTAAAAATCTGGCCATGTGGAATTACTGCAAATGTATGTTTGCTGTGCACTGCTTCTTTGACAGTAACTGTCCAGTACATATACTATACTTGTATAGCTGTATGTAGATGTATACAAGTAGAATACTTTTGCCATCATTATTCCACACTTGCCTATGTGTTCATTGACTTGGAAATGATTTGGAAATAATTATGTATTTTGTGAATCCTGCTTAGTAACACTTTTTTTTTTTTTTTCCCTCTCCCATCTGGTGCCTACAGTTAGAAACAATTGGGGAAAAAAATGATAGTATAGTAAGCTTTGTTACACAGGGGGGAAAAAAAGTGAGTGTAGTGGTAGAGTTGCTGTAGGTAGATGCCCACTGATTTTTCTGATCACCTCCTTACCATACTTGAAGTTCTTAGTTCAAAGAAACAGGTGACTTTAAGATGACATGCTGCTGTATAACAGCATATATGTATATAAGATGTAAGGGGATTTGTATAAATATTTGGGGAGGGCAGTTTGTGATGTTAAGCATCAAGGGTCTAGCTTAATTTAAATCAGGGGGAAGATATGAGCACATAGCATGTTTTAAAATGAGGGTGTGAAGAAATCTGCAAGAGAACTGTAGGCTGTGAGGCATACCCTAGTGAGAGGCAGTAGATCAGTTTATCTAAAATATTGATTATATGGGACAGTAACATGCAAAATAAGATTCTGACTTTCCTCAGTGACTTGTGAACTAGGGATACCAGTAAAAATTCTTCTAGAGAAGAATCTTGTGTTGTATTATGCTGTATAGTTAAGCTGCCTTAGGAGTGTTGGGAGGCTTAAGGTGTGGTGATCCTCAACTGGTGTGTGAGTAAGCTTCTTCAGACTGAATTCTGTGCTGTTGTTTCGTCAGAGGATCTAGGCTTTCATGTAAGAGTTACTTTGGGTGGCAAAACTGAGAGTAGACTTAAGTATGAAGCTGAGGTAGGTTACAAAAACAGGGAAAATCAATCACACTGATAATGCGGTAAGTTTGAAAAGCTCTTTTGAAGTCTCTAGTGGTTTAATGGTTGGCCATTTAACATTGTAGGGCCAAGAAAAGCTGCTTAAGGCACACTGGCACAGTAAGTACTACTGTTTTGGGACAGTGCTTTTTGTTTGATCAGGCTACTAGCAACACTGCTTCCTCTAGAGCCTTGTCTGCCAAAACAATACTGGTTTTAGGACTAACCTTTGTGCCAAATTATGTTACTTGATCAAGCCTAACTACATCTGCTTTAACAAGCCAAAATGCTAAGTGCCGAAAAATTACTCTAATGTTAATTGGGGCATGGTCTGAAGCGTTTAATGTTTCTTGTGAAGTCTGGCTCTGTAGTGCAACTAGCAGGACACTTACGCTTTCTAGCCAAATAGATGCTGGGGGTGCAGCAGCGAATGTGTGTAGCAGCAGTCTGGCTTTAGATACAGCCCCTCTCAAACTACACTTTGGGAATATTGTTGGAGGCTCATCAGCCCTGTTCTCTCTGAGCCCAAGGCTCACTAGTACCAGGCTACCAAAGGCAACCATTAAGATGGTGCTACACTTTGGAAGAGGATGTGGCCTTTTAGCTAATTCAAACAACCTCTGCTATCATAGCTTCACTTTAAGATGGCAAGTAGAAGAGTATTTGATAAACCAACACCCTTCCAGCACTGGTTTGCAAGAGCGGGGGGGGAAAGCTTCAACCAGCAGTTTTAAACCAGTTTTTCTCCTTTTGTGGAGGAAATCTATTTGCTCCTTTTAAACCTTCCTCCTGTTTGCACAGCATCCTTTTGCTTTGAATTTATTGGGTTAATCATATTTTTCCATAACAAACCACAATACTTTATTAGCAGTTGATGCCCTTTGCTAGCTAACAACATGCAGAAGGGGCATGCTTAGGAAATACAGGTTCTAATAAGCCTCCTAGATGCTCACGGCTTTCCCCAGAAAGGCTTCATGTGGAGTTCCACCTCCAGCACTCTTGAACACGCTAAGGGATTGTCCCATATAAAAACCAGCAGGCACCCTCATGTAAATTAAACTGGTGTAGTCTGAAGAGAAAGTGTTTACAAGGCACTGTGAGTTGATTTGTCCTGTGTTACTCACTTATTTCTTGCTTTGTATTTTAAGTGCTAGGTTTAGGACAATATCCAGCGAATGAATAGAGGAAAACCAGCATGTCACACATGGCTATTCTGGGAGTCTGTAGGCCTTAGTCAGTCATATCAAGCTACCCAAGGAGCCAAAAGCAAGTGGATTTGGATATTTAAAAGAAAAAAGTAGAAGGGAGGGAGTATTCCCTTCCCAATGGGGAGTGTGGAGCGGGAGGAGGCAGAAGAGCTCACTTCTGTGCCGGGCACCTGAAGAACAAGGCTCCAGGGGTGTGCCATGGTCAGGGCAGACCAGGCCGAGGTCTACAGAGACTTATACAATAAATGCAAGTTAAGCTCTTCCAGAAGAGACTTTTTTAGAGAGTCATGCTCATGCTGGAAAACAGACTTCCCAAGAGACCTCTTGCTCCTGCCCGAGCAAGCTCCTGGTCTTGCAGATGTCTTTCCTGGGCACCACTGGGCTGACAGCTAGTCATTGGGTCCTGGGTGGGGAGAGAGAAGGCAAACAGCTCTGGTGCCACTGGTCTCACGCCAGCTGTGGCACTCAAACTTGGGATCTGCTTTGCTTTTAAAACTGCCAGGCTATTTTTAGCGTTACTTTGGAAGTTTCAGGAAACGCCAGTGATTGTTCTGTCAAGTAGGGAAGTCCTTTCTCAGTATGTCAGTCCCTGCTTGCATAGGCTGCTGGTTTTTTTTTTCACTGGTGCATGGTGGAGTAAGGGTTTGTCGAAACTGCTGACTCTCTGCTCGTGGGGGGCTGGTTGAGGAACAATCCTTCTCAGTTACTTCCCCTGTGTGTCACAGCTGGTCTATCTTTCCCATTCCTCTGTATGAACATTGTTTGGATTCACTTGTTTGGCTGGCAATCCAAATACACTTTCATTAGTGTGTTTCCACGTTTCAGGCTGAATCACCTGTGTTCAAGGTGACTTTTTTAAACCAAACTTTGCCTAGTGGATAACTCCAAGTCTTCTAAAGCTGGAGCAGTGTGACACACATTGCCTTGTATTTCTGATCTACGTTGCATCTTGGGCTTAGGGAGGTGGGGTGGGGAAGGAAGGACATGATAGCATAATACACCAGAGGTCCAAAGGCTATTGCGGTGCCTTCACACTAGAAGTGAGTTAGCAGCACTATGCATTACTTAGCAATGTGGATTTCCTAAACTGGCTTGACCTCAGCCCAAATATCTGTCCAGTAGATTAAGGGTGCCCTTTTGAAATGCTGGATGTTGATGTCCACGTTCTCCTGCCCTCTGTAGTCTGCATGTCTTTCCAATGCACCTCAGTAATGACTGATATCTGCTTGTTGCATTTCTAGACTGGAGGCCCGAAATGAAACGGGACAACGTGTTCACTGCTATGTCACAGCTCTTGCTACTCGTTCAACTTTTCTGGAAAAAAACAAGAGCTTTCGTCCTACCCACTGGATAAAAGAACATAATGGAAGACACTATCTCAACAGAAACGGTCTCCGTCGCCAAAACCTCACCAGGGATTGCCACTCTCGGCAAATCAAGCACAACGGACTGTTTGTTCACCAGCCTTGCCAGCGTCAGTTCAATTACTGATGGCTCTTGTGGTTTTAATCTATAGTCTAATTGTTTTTAGGTTGCTCTTGTTTTCATGCATAGGTAAGTGTGGTCAATCTGAAGCTGATCATCAGTCCCTCAAACACAATCGTAACTAGTGTTGTGTTCTTTTGAAATGACACACAAATATCTGAACATCTTGCAGCAAGTCCTAAACATTGGTGTTAAAAATCAATGTCTTGGAAGCCTATCAGTATGATAGTTTGTGTGCTGTTTTGTAAACTATGATGTATAGATGGTTTCTTAGTTGGTATTTTAAAGAAACTTAACTGAGATGGAAATCGGTTACATTTTGCATTAATCAAAGTGGAGTTAGAAAAAATTGAGGTTAGCCGTGTGCTTTAAAGACCAGTACTTGACAGCTTGTGTATCTGTCTATATTCAGCATATATGATTAGTTTCTAACGAGGAAATACTATAGCTGCCGGTGGATATTACATAGCTGTGCTGAACTGTTACAAGAAGGACATCTAATCTAAATTGCCTAGTACCTGCTTGTGTTAGTGGAGTTTGTGTAGGTGTGTTGGGTACTTAACATGGGTGTAAAAGGGTTAAATGTCCCCCGAATATTGTTGCAGTATGATATGGCACTGGTGTTACAGATGTAGTACCTCACAGTGGAGTGGAAGGAAAAGTGTACCTATGGGTGAAGTGCAGTAGCACAACCCAGAGAGCTGAACTGGGTTTTACTTGGTACAGTTCGAGTTCTTACTCCCTTTCTCTTAACTCTTTCTGTCTTTGAAAGATGTGTTTCCCCATCCCTATTTCATTTAATCTCTTGTCTAGTGAAAGGAAAAAGATGGTGGATTGGCCATTCTTTTAATCCCATCAGTAGCTGACTGCTCTTTAAAGAAATCAGGCTGATGGATAGCTATTTCTGAGCTGCTAATTGCTGTTAGATTTTTTTTCATATTTACAGATTGAGAGTAGCTTGAAAGTAGCTAGAAGGAAGGTTTTGCCAGAAGTACTCCTAAACTTCCTCTCTTTCTCTTGCTACAAAAATGAAGTCTGAGTTAATTGTGACTGGAAATGAAGGGCGGTGTGTGGCAGGGAGAAGAGTAAGCCTGTTTTTCAGCATATAGAAATAAACACAATAACAGGGTGTATAAAAATTGAGATGGATCAACGGTGGTTGTTTTCCTAGCCCGTTGGGGCAGAAGGACTGGATAACAATTCTGTGGGCCAACAGGAGAGAAAAGCCATTCAAAACTAACAAGTCATTTTCTTAAGATCACTGTGCGAGATGTTTTTTGGAAGTTGGCAGGCACTTAAAAAAAAAAGTAAAGTTCACCTGTTAAGAAAGTGTGTATTACACAGCAGCCATGTGGCATGCCAAACCCTGATAGATCAATCTGGGAAGCAGGTTAAATGGCCGTGGAAGTAAGGGAGCAAAAATCTGCACTGAAAGAAGGGGGGGGAATGTAAGTAAGTCTATTCCCCTTTCTGTCAGTGCTTAATGTGACTTACTGGTTTTTTTTCCTTGTGTTTAGTGCCTGGGGCATTAAAGTGTTAATATTACATTTAACCATGTCTTCCAGTAGTCCTTATACAGAAGTTGGTATAAGGAGTCATGTGAGGAGTCTTTGAAATTAGGCAAGATCAATAATGTGAATTATTCCAGACCTATGAAGTATTTTTAAATTCAGGCAAATGTTTCAATTTCACTGAAGCAAAAACCCAGCAATTTGGATTAACCTTGATGTAGTAGTACTGCTGTGTGTTCTGCAGCTGGAATTGTTGTGGCACATACTTAGTGTACAGGAAACAGTATTTATAACCTCTGTTTCACTGCAGATGTCCTGCTTCACTAGGATTAGTTGGGATTGTTGCAAAGGGATGCTGACACAGTTCAATGTATAAAAGTGCGAGGTGCTTTCCTGGATACACTAGTCTTGTTGTTTGTGGTTTTTTTAAGACACATTAAGTTTACATGGAAAGTGAAAGAAAACAAAATTCGTCACATCATGAGTTTCCAAAACAGAGATTTTGTTACTATTATTTTCAGCAGTATGTGCCCATGTCCATACAACAATTCTCTTGTGGTCCAAATACTCTGGTTTATTTGCGAATAGCTATAGCTTCACCAGTCTCTCATCTGTTCACAAATGCTCTTACTTGCCTCAGATTAGCTACCTTTGTCACTCTGACTTTTTATCTGGCTTAAACTTCCTTCTCCTCACTGCCAACTTTCTAGCTCAGGAAAATTCTTTGCTTTCCTGTATTATTTTTCTTTTTATAAAGTAACTACTTTCCTTCAGCTTTAATTTTCTTAAAGTGAAATGAAGGAAGATGGAGTCTCCACCTCCTTGTGTTGGAAGGAGTAAGTAATCCTTTAACTCTTAGCGGGGGGATGGAGTTGAAAGTATAAGGCTCCCAGGCATTACAGTGGGAGCCTTGGTCCGTTCTTCTCAGTAGGCAAGTAAATGCAACTTTAGACTGCTCCTAGAATTGGGAGATACTGATCTTTTTATACTACATTACTAGATAACTTTCTGGTGATGAAAACCTATATCTTTCAGGATATAAACTGTTTTGTTGCACAAAGCTGTGCTTCTCAATTTGTAATATTGGAAACCATATTATTGTGTGAGATAGTACTGCATCGATGGCTTTTTGTTAATTTGTTTTACGTATTTATGTTGGTCTAGCCCTCTTTTGTGCCTGGAGCTATTGGGCAATTAGATTTGTTTTGGTTTTCTGTTTTAATAGTGAGCTGTGTGGCTTTTTATATGGTTTTTGAATTGTATTAAAGTGTGTGTTTTTTCTTGTAAAAGTGGAGGCCTTGCACTGTCTCATACTGATTGATATTCATGAATCTTGCTGAAACTGTATTTTCATATGTATTGCTCAGTAGACAGATTTGCATTTTAAACTGTGCCTTCTACACAGCAAACTTGAAGATTCAAAAGGGACATTTCAGTTAAGATTAATACTGTACATCAGTCTATGCATATATGGCAGCTTCTTTCCAGAGCCACTTCTCTATTTGTAGCAGTCCTTTTGATATGTAAGAATGTCTGGCTCTTATTTTTTAATAGTTTAACACGAGCTGAAAAACGACAAAATACAGCACTTTGCCAAAAAGTAGCATTGCTTAACCAGTGTGTATTTACTAAAGCGATCTTCTGTGGGTTTTTTTTCATAGTGCATTCTGCGTACCATGGGGAGACATGATCTTAACTCTCAATAAAAAATGGCCTGCGAAAAATTGTCGGTGTGTTCTTTTGTGTTACAGATCAGTCAAAATCCAAATGCCTGAGCGCCCAGTTCAGGTTCGGTAGGTACAAGTACTGAGTAGCTGGGAATGCTTGCCTCTGGTACAGAAGGTCTTCTGGGGATCGGTTTGGATTGCTGATGAAGAGACAACACATGGTCTAAGGAGTATTGTAAGTCTCTGCCAACTGCTGCATTTCCTGATCAGCAATGCAGAAGTGCTGTAGGTGAACAGGACAGAGATAAAACACATTACCACTTAAAGTGTGCACGGAGTGGGGGGAAAGGTTTTTCCTTATCTAGGCTGAACCTGTCTTGTTTCAACTCATACCCATCACTTCTCATCTTCCTGCCATGCTCCACCATGAAGAATCTGCATGGAAGGCTGCTGTTAGCATTCAAGAGGTGGAAGCAGGGACTGGTAACCTGTGAGGGACACAGAGACCCTGTGCAAATGCCCAGGGATGTGGTTAAAGAAGTCAAAGCCAAGCCATCTGTAGCAGAACCTGGAAAGGCATGTGAAGGATGATGGGCCTTCCACGGGTATATCAGCTGCAAAAGGAAGATCAGAAAATGTGAGCCTGCTACTAAACTGGGCAGGAATCCTCACTACAAAGCACATGGAAAAAGGCTGAGGTAGTCCATGTCTCCTTTGCCTTGGTCTCTACTGGTAAGACCAGCCTTTGGTAATTGCAGGCCCCTGAGGCCAGTGGGAAAGGGTAAAGCAAGAAAGCCCAACCCTTGGTTGCAAAGGACCAAGTTAAGAAATGCTTAAAGAGATGGGACATATACAGATCTATGGGATGCATCCATGACTGGCGAAGGAGCTGGCTGATGTCATTGTGAAGCTGTTCTCAATTATCTTAAAGGTTATAGCAAAGGAAAGGATTCCTGAGCGCTGAAAGAAAGTAAATGTCCTTCCTATCTTCCAGAAGGACAAGAAGAATAGGAGTAACTACAAGACAGTCAGTCTCACCTTGATCTCTGGGCAGGTGATGGAGCAAATGCTCCCAGAAACCATTTTCAAACAAACAAGAAGGTGATTAGAAGTAGCCAGAAGGGACTTATGCAGGGGAAAGGATATCTGACAACCTGATAGCCTTCTACAATTAGATGACTAGCTCAGTGGATGAAGGGAAAGCAGTGGGTGTTTTATCTTGACTTCAGCAAGGCTTTTAATGCTTCCACCATAACATTCTTCCAAACTGATGAATTACAGACCATGTAACTAGATGGTGAGCTGGTGTATCAAGAATGGGCTGAACTCCTGTGCTCAAAGGGCTGTGATCAGTGCCATGAAGCCTAGCTGGTGGTCAGTTGCTGGTGTACCCTATCAATACTGGATCGCACACTGTTAAAAATGTTCACTAATGACCTAGGTCAGGGGGCAGAATACACAATGGCTGAGCTTGTAGAAGACAGGCTGGGTTGTTTATACATCGGAGGGCTGTGCTGCCATTCAGAAGGACCTTGAGAGCCTGGAGAAATGGGCTGGCAGGGGTCTCATGGAGTTCAACAAGGGGAAATACGGAGTGGTGTACCTGGGGGAAGAATAACCCCAACACCAGTTCAGGATGGAGGCCAGCTGGCTGGAAAGCACCTTGGTAGAACAGGCCCTGGGGGTCCTGGTGGACACCAAGCTGACCATGAGCCAGCAGTGCACCCTTGTGGCCTCAAAAACCAAAAGCTTCTTGGGCTGCATCAGGCAGAGTGTGGCCAGCGGGTGGAGGAAGGTGATCCTTCCCTTCCACTCTGTGCTGGTGAGGCGCATCTGGGTGCTGTGTCCGGTGCAGATCTCCCCAGTACAAGAGACATAGACATACTGGAGTGTATCCAGCAAGAGGCCAGGGAGATGATAATGGGACTGAAATAACAGGGAGAAGGTAAGAGCTGGGATTGTTTGGGCTGGAGAAGAAAAGGCTTGGGGGGATCTTGTCAAGGTGCATAAACACCTGATGGGGGCATTAAAGAGGACAGAGCCAGACTCTTCTCTAGTGGTGTTCAGTGAAAGGACAAAAGGCAAGGGGTGCAAGCTGAAATATGGGAAATTACATATATGGGAAATAGTCTCTCTGGTCTTCTCCAGATTGTTCTTTTGGCTTTTTCTAAAAATATGTGTGAATATATTTCCCCCCTGGCCCCACCCTCCGGTCATCGGGCAGCCTTGAACTCTGTGGCTTTTCAAAGATCATGGAGAGTAGCCTTGCAAGGACATCTCAGCACACTGGATGAGGCTGCAGGGCTCCATGGAATTCTATGGGTTGAGTTGTTGCAAGTAGTCCTTGACTTGATTCTCACCCACGGAACCAACTGGGTGACGAAATGATAACTATTTAACTGAGAGTGATGAAATGGAATTTGTGCAACAAAGCATCCATCTTCCCAGAGGAAGCACTGAGTAAAACCTCTCCTTTTCAAATGTAATTTCGTGACTTGTACATTTATCAAAGCAGCGAGTCTGTGCTGAGAGCTGTACAGTATTCTGCAGGAGAAAGTCTGACCAGTTATGCCTGTACAATCGTATCCATACAGATAAGCTAACATAGCTATACTGATAGTGTTCCTCTTGGGGGTGCTTAGTTCAGGCTTAATGCAGATTTTTAAATTTAGGTTGGATGCTTTCCAAAACATCATGAACTAATGTTCTTTTTAAAAACTTCTCTGTGCCAAAGCAAAAATGTTTGTATAAAGGGTCATAGCAATGTAACTGTATTGACTTAAGTTCTCATTTTACATTCTAGTTTTCCTGTTTTATGTAAATCTTTGTACATCGCTGATGAAGCTGGCATACTAATTACTGTTCTCTGACACTTAATGCTGATGGAGGCACTCTGTTTCCTCATTGTGTCGTTCAATATCTGCTTTCTTTGTCTGATTGACTTCTTTTGGTGCATGTTTATAACCACAAAACGCTGTTACCTCCATTATTCAGTCATACTTGCAAGTAGGGTTCAGAGTTTTTGACGCACATAGAAATGACTCATTAAAAGAACAAGCTGGTGGTGCTGTGGCACTGTTCTTCCCGTGATGTGGTCATGATAGGTAGGTCTTAGAATAAGTGGGACTG